GTATACCCAACACCCTACTTACAGTAGCAAAGTTCTAATAATGTGTTCCAGTTTTTCATTCCATTGCTCGGGGCTATGTATATATTGTACCTTCACTTTCTTTGTTAGTACATCCTGTTTTCTACTGAAAAAATATAGTCAGCTTTAGGGATAGTGTTTTTAGATACAATTTGATAGACTCCTCTTCTCCATTTCTCTAACCTATAGAATGTAATTTGAGCTCTTTTTTAGTAAGGAAAATCAATTTAGGCAGTTGCAGTGCAAAGAGACATTTTGCAGAGAGAGACACAGAAATCCCATGAGTGGTGAGACATGAGTTAGAGCTGGCAGGACTTATATAAACAGACACCATTGATAAATTTCTTATGTGTGTTATTTGGAACATGTGCAGAGAAAGGAAATAATTTATAAATGCAAGAATAAATGTGTTTGGAAATTGTGTCCTCTGCATACACACTTATTTTTATTTTGTGAATCACACACAGTTCATTTTCAAACTTTATTTCATTTGACATTTTGTACTACAGCTCATCTTTGTATAGCTGATTTGTGATATGGTAAAATACCTTGAATATTCTTGTAGCCAGGATAGGACTCACTTGTATAAATAACCCAGATTTGTATATAATTGTCTCATTTTCTTCCTGTTAAAGTTAAACACTTCACACAGCTGTGAAATAAATTGAATACTATTATTACAAGCATTTGGATCCTAGGAATTTGTTTGATTACTAGAATTGAATGGCACTCACAATCTTTTCACTAACAGAAAACCCCCATCCCTGTTTACCTCAGGCTTTCTTCATTTGGGCTTGGTCACTTTTTGTTGCACGCGCTCTCTCTCTTTCTGTGCGTGCGTGCGTGCACACAGTCAAAAATCCTTTCCAATCACCAAGTCCTATCAGAAGATTCAGATCTACTTTCTGCTCACTTCTGCTCAATACCATGGTACCTAGAGGGAGCAGCTGACATCACAACCTCAGAGGCTCAAGCAAAGAAGGAAGTAGCAGATTTATGGTTCGGGCAAAGTCCTAATACTTACTGAAAGCTCTTTGGTGTCCTCTACTGTTGGGAATTCTAAAGTTCTCTATCTTGACAATAACGCTTACTTGGACAGAAAAACAAACATACATTTATAGTGGCCTACTACTGCTCCTTAATCAAAAAGTGATGCATAAAAATTAGAAGACCCAGTCTTTTCATAATACGGAGATAAACATATACTAGTTCATGCAGATGTAGTTGTTAAAGGGACAGCTACAGACAATGATGATTCAACTCCTTGCCAGTTCAGGTCTGTTGTGCAATAATGGAAAGGTGTGAGTGTATGCTTATAAACAATCATTTGTATACTGCCCAATAGCCAAAGCACAAAAACTTACAACTCAAAACCACAGCATAACAAAATATAATATAGTGTCTTTAACCTTTTTTTAATAAAGCAACTAAAACCAGTTACAATTATAGTTAAAATAAAAGCTTTTAAAGTTGCAAATATAAAAGCTGAATTCAAGCTTATTCCATGACTTTCAATAAAATTGATCAAATTGATTGTCTGAGCTATACTAAATGTGTCCAAGGAATATTTTTTATATATGTATTTATTATATTTATATTCCACCTTTTTTCCCCTCTTGTGGGGATTTCAAGATGACATATGCAGTTATCTTCCACTCCACACTGTGAGATATGTTAGGTTGTGAGTCAGTGACTAGTCCAAAGTCACCCATTAGCTTTGTCACTAAATGGGGAGTAGAACTCATATCTCCTAAATCCCAACCCAACACTCTACCCACTATGCCACAGTGGCTTTCAGGCTATTTGCATGTAAGCCTAGTTGTAATTTACTTTAATTTCAGAAAGCACTTCATTATATCTCCAGTCCAATGTCCTTACATCATTCAAATCTTTTGTACTTTTTTGCAAGGAAAAGAAAATCATTGCTTCCTATAATTAACCTTTAAAATATCCTTTTCAATGTTCATAGTCCTTAAACTGTCTTTTGTGTTATGGAGGTTTTAACTTCCTAGATGATATTTTACAATTACATTTTCAGCATCACATGTCTTATCTCCCTTGTGTGCTCTTGACTTTGTGTCTTCTTGACTTTTGTCTCCTTTCATGATACCCCATCTGCCAAGAACAACTTTCCATTTGATGCTTGATTTATATTGTACTCTGTTATATATGCTATGGCTCTAGAAATAGAATTTCCATTTAGGAATGTCTCCATAGAGTCCAGTGCTATGCGGAATTACAGAAGGGAACACTGTTACTTAATGATTTAGTTAGGTTGTTACCAAGAGCTGTGAGAATGCTGTGTAGGTGTTGTTTCCACTTCACACATGCTTACTCCTGGAAATGTTTTATCTTCCAAGGTCAAAAGTCTCACCTTCCAGAGCTCTGCTGCATCTGGGCAATTTTCCAGGGTCCCCCTCTATGTTTTTTCTCCCCTGGCAGTAGGCATAATAGAGAACAAATCAGTTAATTAAAATTGAATGCATTGTGTGGAATATGGTTAGTGCCATTGCAACTTTCTTTTTCTTTCTGACTTTCTTTTCTCTTTATATTTTTCCACATATTCTCAGTTTGAGAGAGACAGAGAGAGCAAGCAAAGCTACAAGTAAACCAGCACAAATGTTGCTAAACTTTGTTTGATGAACCTCCTTAAACAGTAAAAAGTACTGAGCCTATTCAGTACTTATAGGTGTACAGGTTGGCTTCCAGATGTTTTGGATTTCAACTCCTGTTAGCTCCAGCTAGTATGGTCACAGATCACGAATTCTGGGAGTTTAATCCACAACATCTGGAAGCCACCAGGTTGGGAAAGATTGGCAGGGGAAGAACTTCCTACTTTCATTAGTATTAAAAAGTTTTGCTGGGCAGTGTTGTTGTATTCTTGTATCCACAGTACTGATGAAAAGTAAGTTGTTATACATCTTATTTAATTGTCTTAAACTTCCTCAGGAAAGGGTTGCTGTTTTGCCACTTGTCACAGGGGGAACTATATATATGGTGGCTAAGAACTTTACACTAATTGGCTATAGAAAATCTAAGCAGTATGTGCTATTAACTTAAATTAATGCATTAAATTATTTTCCCTTTTTCAACTATAGCCATGTGATAAGAGAGAAAACAGAAAATTAAAGCTGTTTTTAAAATAATTTTTGGCATGTTCTCTCCCTTTCCTCTTCACATTTTTTTTTCTATTTTTATTCTGGTTCATAGTTACACCTCTGTTTTGGAACCATCGATAGAGCTCTGGCCATTGGATAGCATACAAATATAATAAGTTATAGAATCATGGTTCTTCTGGGCTGGCATATTATGTTAGTTTATGCTTAACAGTTGTTGAAACAGGCACTTTTAAAAATCAGCTTGTTAGATGAAGAAGCCAAATTATTCTCAAACTTTCCATTAAAGAAAATTCAAACAGCTCTAACACCTAGGCAAAAACTACCACTGTTGATTTAATCCTCCCACTATCAAAAAAGTGGAGGCAGAGGCAGATAAATTTAGACTGACAGAATGAACATGAATGCTACTGTCTTGCTAGGGCTTCAGAAATCAAATTTATCAAAGAATCATGCTTTATATTGGTTGGCTATCATTCTCCATTCAAGCTCTATTAAGAACAGCTCTATAATTTCCCAGAAGCACTAGGGTGACTTTGAACATTACAATAAATGGAAAAATTGTAGCTAAATAATTGACTTGTTCAAGTCAACACTCAAACTTGAGCTCATGTACAGCTTACCTCTAAGTCATTGCTGCTGGATTCCACTGATGTAACATAACAGATCTTCCAAGGATTTCTGAAATGGGAACTTTTCAATTGCTATATCGTTTGACAAGTTGTTTTTCCTAGACTGAGTAATGCATGGTTCAACAAAGTTAACTAGTCTGGCTTTATCCAAATACAGGCTGAAAAACCTAGGTCATTAATAACCAATATGTGCATAAATCTTGTGACCATACATTTCCCTCCCATTGCCTCTTCCCTTGTTGCTGTTTGCTGTGCACATCTGAACATTTTTTGGCTTGATTAACCAAATTTTCCTATTGTATCCAAACTAGGAAACTCTGGATAGGAAGACTGAAACAAACTGGGAACTTAAATTGTAGTCTGAAGTTATTTAAACATTCCTGTCTTATTTTGAGCTCATAAACCATTGTTTCTCCCCTCCAGTGCAAAGAGAAATAATGGTTCTTTAAGCCAAGAAGCAAGGAGAAAAAAGCCAATGCAGTGATGCAGTGTTTAGGTGCTATGCCTGTGCATATGTCTGCTTATTAGACTGAATTATGTATATTAAAAGCAGGCCACTACTTGAATTATGGTGCCTGCATTTCTTTCTACTAACTCTTGGTTTGAGATGAAGATTAGTTTGGTGAATCAAAACAAACAGGCAAGTGGATGCAGTTGTCTTTAAGGATAGTTCCCCTCACTCACTGCTATGCAGAATATTGACCCATTTGCTACTTTTGAGTTTTCGTTCATTATGCTTCTTGATTGACAAGAGACAGTGAAATATTTAAGCACCATATATATTGTCAGGGGAAGCAAACCTCCATCAGATTATTTAAAAGTATACTTAAGTCTCATGTGATGCTCCCCTTTCCATTTGTTTTTGATTAGTCTTATCTCCAAGCAGGAGATGAAGGTAGCCACTGTTAGATAAGGATTCCTCCATTCCCCTCTTCCTGAGAATGTACCAGTAAGTCTGTGAATTACTAGCATTCACTAGTGTTCTCTTGGGTGTGGGACAGGGTTTAGAGCTCTCTTTGCCATTTCAGTGTTGATATCAAGTCCTTGGAAACCTTCAATCCCTTCTGATTTTCCAAGGAGTTGTAAACCTTTCTCCTTTTGTTGAGAAGACAGTGTTATGTTCTTTGGATGGTTCATTTGCTCACACAATTGTCAATTCTGTTCAATTTTTTACACATCCCTGAACCTCATTATTATGATTATTGACTATTTAATGTGTTTTGCTTCCTTTTAGTATGAAAGAGGCTGGTCTACGTCATAAACAATGGAAAGTTGGTCCTGTTTCATCAAAATGCAAGCAGTGTCCAGTAGTTTATACCAATCCTGTCTGTGGATCTGATGGCCACACATACTCCTCTCAGGTAGGGATAATTAATGGAGTTTATTAGACATTTCTAGACATTATATAGCATTCTACTGCCTTAACATTGTTGTTTATCCTATTTACACCAATGTATTAGCTTTTGCACATTCTGTAACATATGTGCAATCCAACCTAATTTAAAAATAGATATCCACATGACAAATTACAACATGAGTCAATTTCATTAAGCAAGTTTACTTATTAGCATTGGGTTTGCTTCATATTTTCAGAAGACAGCAAACCCATTGTTAAATAATAAAATTGTGGTTTTTCACTGAAATGCAGGCATCAAAAGTTTATGTCACTTTTTACATACTGAAAAAATATACTAAAGGTATACCATTTACTTAATTTGCTTGATTTTACAAAGAGCTTATTTGAATACATAGATGTACAGTTTTATAGAAAACCTATGCTTTCTATAGACAACTCTTTTACCAGATACCTTAAATCTTAAGTTTTAAAGAGTGACCAAAATTACTTTGAAAGGATTATGTGCATGTCATTGTCAAGAATTACTTGCAACAAGTAAATGACAAAAACAAAACATTTCTTTCATGATGCAATTATATATGCTTAGCTTCATTTACAGACCTATAGGGGCTTTTCAAAACATGGTAATTTGTTGTTGGGTTCCTGTATGAAACCAGGATGTAAAGAATTAAGTGCCACATTTTCTCTCTTCTGTTTGTAAGTGTGTGAGTTAATGCTAAGTCCCTTTGTCTAGATTTCTGAAGGCAAACCCAATGCTCCTTTAATCATGCATAGATGAGCTTATGTGTGTTTAATTCCTTTTCTGTTTCATTGATTCCAATGAAGGCTTTAAACAAACAAACAAACAAACTTGTTTCCCCATGAGGTATGTGTGTGAAATTCTCTAACTGATATGAACTAGATATGTGGGTCTATTGCACCTTCCGCCAGAACCATTGGCAATCCTTTCTCCAAAATGGAGAGGGCTGACATTGATGTTCCAGTAACATTACCAGAAGCACAGTCCAGACTTCTTGTTTTGCTTCTAACTGTATTCAATAATAAAACTAAGGAGTGACTTCACAAAATGGAATTCTGGGAACTGCATGAAAGACCACAAGCCTTTGTAGTTTCTAAGAACTTTCTCATTCACCTTAATCAGTGCAAAGAAGGAGGGGGAGAAAAACAAGCAACTAAGAACAGTAGCAAACTCTTTAACTAGTCCACTGTCAGCCTGCCCTGGGTATCTCTAGCACATCTGGAGGGCAACAGCAAGTTGGAAGAAAGCTGCTTTTAGTCATTTAATGATAATGAAAGATAGTAATTTGCATTCTCAAGCTCACTCCCAAGCTTCTTGATTGTTTGACTGTCCTAGTGAAGATGTATGCCTTTGGAAGTCATTCGAACTGGATAATGTTGATTTATAAAAATCAAGGTTATTTTGAGGGGTAATCGGTCTTGAAGTTGACATAAAAGATAAATATTTTGTTCACTCCAGGCAAAGCTCATTTTAATTATATTTGTCAAGCTTCAGTAAGGACATGTTATTGCTGTATCACAGAGCTACTTTCTATCACTTGCAGTTTATTTGCCAATGACTTCTGTAAATTTACAGTGCACTTTTTGAACACATATCAATAAACTGCATCCATTGTGTAGAAATGAGCACTGTAACAATATAAATGTCCCAATAGAGACGTTGGGATTTCCATGTCATGCTCTCATACTCCCGCTAGACCTTCAGAATGTTTGATCAGCATATTGTAGGAATGATAGCCGGGGCACTGTGGTAGTGCAGATGATAAAGATGGATATGTATAATCTGTATTACAACTGGAAGAAAAACCTAGTTCCTGCTCTGAAAATGAATAGCAAATATGTACATTCTGTCTTGTGTTCTTGCTCATCTCATTAATGAGCAAGCATTTCTCAAGTGCTCCAGTGCAGTGCAGATCATGGCACTCCATGTGCGGATCATGGCAATAACTTTCATCTGTTTCATATTTGCTTTTAAGCACCTTTTCACCCCAGTGTTCATGCCACACAGTTCACATGATACATGCAGGATTCTTACCATCCAGTGACACAGTTTTTCCAGAAAACTTTGATTTTTTTTCAGTATGTAAAAGAAATCAAAGAATACCTGATTTAGTATGTTTAGTTGATAAACTTGTAGTGACCACAAATACTGTGTTGATTTGTCATGTATAATTATCTGAAAAGTTTTTTTCTAGTAGCCCAAGGTAATTGAGCTGAGATTAGCCTCCCCCCACACCAAATACACACACACACACACACATACACACACAAACTCCTGTCCTCCTTGAGCAAATGGGCCAGGTTTGTGGATGGCCCCAGTTTATTCAGGATAATGAAAACCAAACTGGACTAAAAAGTTCCAAAATGATCTCTCAAAACTATGTGAATGAACCTTATTTGCCATTTTGTTGTCCTGTCTAAATAAATGTTAACAGATACACATAGGTACAAAATTCCTAACTTTACAAATAGTTTGACAGGGTAGTGAACTGGTAGTAACTAACCTAAGAAGGAATTGTGGAGTCATCAGAGTTAGCTTAATTAAGTCAATTAGGTGCACAACAGCTTCAAAAAAGTAAGAGATTACTTGGAAATGGATTGAACATTAAACTGCAAATATTGTAATGTCTATATGTAGATCTGTTGTGCAGGGGAGGGCTGTGTTCTTATCACATGCTTGTGCACTTTTTAGATGGATTGGTAGGAAACAGAATGCTGGACTATATGTTCCTTTGGTATAGTACTGCAGTATGCTTATGTACATAAATTGTTGATTTTTCTATTTCAAAGAAAAGATAATGCATTAGAGCTTTAGGTATTAGAATTCCAGAACATGTAGGGCAATGCTTTTTTTTTTTTTTTTTTTTGGTATTTTTGGTATTATTTTGTAATACAAATGTCAGAATGACTCCAACAACTCCTGTCATTATACTATATTTTAAAGGGACAATTCACCTTTCTCTCCTTTGGGATGTAAAATGGAATTAATGCAGATAAGTAAGCAAAACTTTCTATGAATGCACAGTTTCATTATTCTGCATCTATGGCATCAATAATCCTTACTCCATCATTTTTACTTTAAATACCAATATTTTCTTAACATGATGCCACATGTAGAAGTATTGCATAAAACATGGCGGCTTTTATCCAATGTATCTAACTCTACATTTTTGGCTGTTGCATTAAAAAAAATCATTGATTTTTTTTCAGGGGTGGGGGTAGGAATTCCACTTTATATATGCAATGTTTCTAGTGGGTTTTAGAATCCTGGTTTACTTTTATGAGAGATTTGTTTGTGTTTGTTGGAATTTAAGAGTACTATTAGCAATGTGTTCATTCAGTACAAGTTTTCTAGTGAAAAAAATCAATTTGCAGTGTAACCTAGAGCAAACCTCCGGAGTACTGGTTTGGTATTCCACCCCCCCACCCCCAGCAATCTGTCTTAAACTCTTCATCGGGTATAAAAGCATACTTTTTCATTATAACTATTCAGTATCCTATTTCAACTCTTAAAAGTCTCTGTGTGGATGTTTTTTTAAGGCACTCAGCATGGATGTGGAAAGTTTAAATGAGGTGTCAGATGTAAAACACAGAACTTAGGAGATTTACTGAAGAACAGGCTTTTCAGTAATTTGGCAAAGGCAATGTGGTAGAGGGAGGCAGGAGTTTTAAAAGGACAAAACTCGTGTTGGGATTAAAGACTGAGGGAGCAAGTACAAACCACAGAAGTGTTTCAGGAGGGAATTCCCAATAGGTAGACCTGTAAAGAATAATGTAAGGAGTCATTTAAGAGAGCAGGCTATTTAGGGGCAACTAAACCCCAATGGATTTTCTAATGGATTTTTCTTATTTTGGAATCTAGCATACTTAATTAAGGCAATTCAATCTGTCTACACACTGCTAGCAAACTAGCAGGCAATAGAGAGCCTTCTTATGCTAAAAATAGAAAAAAAATGACCTGGTCCACAGTTCTAATGAATACGTTTACATGTTATAACTTGGGGACTTGAGCCCAGAAACTTCCTATTTGCAATCGGTACTTACCTATTTGTTTTACTGGACAAGGCTTCAAAGAGCAGGATGCAAAGGTCATCTTCATTAATTTAGCTTATAAATAGTGCTGACTTTCAGTGAAATGCAATTCCTTTCTTCTGCATGTTATGTAAACTAGACTTCCAGTAATTTGCATTGAACATGTATGCAAATGCACATTCACATATGCTCATGTATATGTTCACATTTTTCATGTAGGGAAACAGGCAGTTTCGATGGAGTTTTTTACCAAAATTTTCAAGTGCATGTAGCAGTAACATTGCAAGAATAATGACTTCACACCTGATTTTTTCCCCTGTAATATTCATTTTCCAAATTAAAAATTTTCAGAAATTATTTGCAACAGAAAGAATCGTCATCCTCAGTCTGAGGAACTCAATATTTTGTCAGGTAATGGATGCCTAGTGGACTTATGCATATATCACACCCTAAGTAAACCCCAAATCCTTCTTTACTCAACTTAACATTTTACCTTTATTCCATTTCTTTTTACACAACCTACAACTTTCTTAGAACTTTCAAAATATCTTTATTTATTCAGTTTCTGAAAATAACTGGGTGGGGTGGGTCAGGGGGTTACTCCTGATTACTTTCACACATTTTCTCTGAAATTAATCAACATTAATTATACCTCCAAATTTCAAATGCCAAAAATAATATTCTTCCCTGATATTCTATCCCAAGCTTCAGAACATATGATAAAATTGGTTCAAGAGTTCACTTTTATATCACTCAGCATTCATTCACTTGTATAGCCAGATAACTATAGTAGTCAACCAGACCAGATTGTGCTTGCATTCTCTTTCATCCCTTTATATTAATGTTTCTTAGATTTTAAGGAGCTGGACAGGCACAGGGTTATTTCTGATCCTGGCAAATTATGGAGGGATAAATGCAGAATTTAAATTTACTTTTAAAAGGACAAAGAAAAATTCATATGTGAATTTGGGGCTTTTTTCTGTCCATAGGTGTAAAAATTTAAGTGATAAAACTCTGGAATTTATGTGATAAATTACAGAGTGAAAAAATGTAATGAAAAGCAAAAGAAGAATAAAAGTACATGCATGAATCTTTTCTAAATTTTAACCCAAGTTAAATAATTTGCAAAGCTTTTTTCAAAGCATCATGAAGTAGTGTTCCTGATTAAGTATGTATGTTTTGCATTTTCCCTACAATTAAATACTAATGAGCATGCCCTTTATGTGATATTTTAGTTCACTTATAACTTTATAAATATTTCAGCCTTGGATAATTGAGTAAATTGAACTTGATGAATTAGCAATGCAATCAGTGGGTGTTGTTTAAGAAATGGTATTGCATAAAAAGTCAAATTATACTGTATTCTTTATCATTTCAGGATACTGTTTAAACAAATGATTCATTTAAATAATTGAATGAGGGGGAGGAAAATAACACAAAATTTAGAAATATTTTATAAAATACATTGCACCAAATCTGTATTAGTTGTAAGTTATAATAAAGGTGGGCATTTAAAAAAAAGTTCATTGCGTATTCTTCCTATTTGAGTAAAATAAACGTAGTTCTCAAGTTTAAAGGAATTTTAAACACAAAAATAGTCTCCTTGTCCCTTCTTTTCCTTGTAACATCTTGTGGTTAAGAAATAGGCAGAGTAATCCTAACTATCTTGGACTATCTGAGGAGGGGATGCAAGTATTTCTTTGCCACCGAGGATGTTCCAAATTGTCCACAGAAAACTGAGGGCATAGAAATACCACCAGTCACTTCAATTTTTTTAAATTTTGCATTACAGCCACTGGATCTAAAGTTCCTTCAGTCTCCCAAGAGGCCGTGGGTGAATCTGAAGCTGGAACATTGCATTTTCTTCCACTGAAACCACTAGAGATTTGGGGTTTTTTTTAATGGAAGAGGGCTAAAAGAAATGTGCAGCACAATTGCAACCATATGTGGTATGTTAAGTTGGAATCATGCTGTACCATGAAAGAATTGGCATTTCAGAAAAGTAAACAGCAACAAGACAAGATTAGGGTGTTCCACAAAAATTGACACAGTAGGCATTCAGATGGAACGAGTAATTATATGGTGTATGTAATGAAGTTCTTTATTTCCAGTCCAAAGATTATACAAAATCAAGTACCACCTAAGCCAGAATTTAAGCATATATTCTGTTAATATAGAATATTATTTTACAAGATCATCTCAGGCATAATCTCAGAGCCATAGAGATGCTACCTGGCAAGCCATAGGAAAAGCTAGAGTCCCTGTTGTGAACTTTAAAAAGCCTTTGGAAATTGTCCTGAAGACTCCATCTGCCACTGCCCTTGTATTCAGCACAATTAATTCTACCTGAGCTGCAACTCTGATAGAAGACAGTCTTTCAAGTGGGTGGGGAACACTAGAACTTCTCTGTTCTACAAAGAATCTAAATAGTGTTTCAGGCTCTCTTCTTCATGAGGAGTGAGAATTTAGCCATCTAAATGGTTTGGAGGGCAAGGAAGTGTGAAGACAATTTGAGTCTCTGTGATCCTCTTGACCTCCACTGAAGCTCATAACCATCCAGGTTTGAAAGAATGGCGCCCTAATATCTGTGACTCTTTTCTAATACCTGTGGCAAGAAAGTTGGCTGACTTTTCGGGAGTTAGAATCTGCTATAACCATAGAAATATAAAACTCATAATAACTTCCAGAATATAAGCAAAGCACAGGGAAATAAAATGAGCTCTCATATCAGTATTGTGCTTCTGTTGCACTGCTGCTACATGGATAGACTTTCAAGTTTAAATGTTTAAACAGTCTTTCATGATAGCTGATGACAAGAATTCAGGATAGCTATGGAAAAGATTATAGACTTGGTTAAATCTATGAAGGAGGTAAAAGATTAGGATAAGTTCCTTTAATGCATTCAGTGGGTATTCTGGTGCTTCCTGTATACTATTTTAACTCATTAGGGCTCCAATCAACAGGTGAAGAGTATGAGGTTGAAATTAACCCTCAGAATTATGAGGGTTCATTGCATTTGTTGCCAAGTATGGTGTTTACACATTAAGATAGGATCCATACCTGGGAGGATAGAAACCACTCCTTGACCATATCATCAGGGCCTGAACAGTTCAGGCCATGGTTTAGACTACTGGGTGCATTTTCTTCTTTTGTAGTACTTTATCATCACAAATACAGTGTGACAAATAGCTAACTTCAATCTATTTCAAAATACTTAATGGTCTAGCATTTACATTATTAAAGAGTTTCGCGTTCAAAGATTGACACTTTCTCTTTCTCTATCATAGTGCAAACTAGAATATCAAGCCTGTGTCTCAGGGAAGCAGATTTCAGTGAAGTGTGAAGGACGTTGTCCTTGCCCTTCAGATAAATCCACAAGTGCAGGCAGAAATGACAGGAGAGGTAAGTGCTGACACTTATATTACATCTATCAATGATATGTTCTTCAGTGCTTTATATTTGTACAAACAGAAAATTGTTAGGACTAAAAACCAGTGTTTGTTTGTGAGTGAAAATAGAAACATTTCATTTCAAAGTAGCTGACAAATACAATTTCATTGGCTCATTGTTGTTGAATGGGTTTGTTAAGATTTTGTTGAATATAATGTAATGCTTGATATGTTGTAAATATTTACAGGTTTTTAAGATGAAGGGCCAAACTACAGGTTTTTAAGATGAAGGGCCAAACTAGTTCAGATGAAAGTAATGCATCATTTGGTTTTCTTGTGATACTGTTTTACTACTTAACCTTGGTTTGAAGATGGTAGAAATTATGCTTACAGAAAGAATGTTTAGCCCTTCTCTCCCACATAATTTCCTTGAGAAGAAGAGAAGAAAGAAAAAGCAACAAATGTATGAATCACACCTGTGTTGGAAATGGCTGAGTGCTTGCCTGTTTGTTTCAAAAAGATCAGTATTATGCACGTTTTTATTGTGACTACTTCAAAAAGACAGAGGCCTTTTAAGAGCATTTACAAGGACTGTTTGCAAAACTTTGATGGCTTCGCCTTCCTCCCAGGTTCAGACTGGATTACAAGTACTTGAACAGGGAGGTTGCATTTTTGAGCATCCTCCTTGAATTGGAACCCAGGAGATCCAGGTTTTAGTCCCTGTTTGGCCATGAAGTCCACTGGCTGGTTTTGGCCCAGTCACTATCCCTCAGCCTACCACATAAAGCTGTTGTGAAGTTATAATGGGGAGACGAATAATGTTTTCTGTTCAACTGACATTTGTAACTTTTTTTCACAGTATTTTCTGTGGAAAATTGTAAACCATCATAATTATTAAAGAGACATTTAGCAATACCTTTAGCAATCCTTTATCTAGCCTTTTCTAGCTTTACTTTGCAGAATACCTGAGACATAATAAAGAAACATGGGCAAGAGCCTACAAACTTTGTTATATGTCTGGTGACTTGTCCAACTCTCTTCAGTAAATGTGATGGCTCTAATTACAATACTATTCCTTCTAAGAATGTGTCCAACTTATTTCACAGCCTTGTGCTACATTAACCTTTACAATTAACTGCACTGTACATGTCATTTTTAAAAGAAAGTTTTACTTGTAGATAGCTGATAATTTGTTGAGTAGGAAAAGCATAAAGAAAGCTTGACATGACATGCTCATACAGATAAACAGTGCGTCAAACCAGGTGTCTAGGTACAAGGACTCACAAACAATTTGATGTTGGCTCTTTGATGTGGGCAACCTTGTTTCTAAAGAGGGCTATATTCCCTCTCAGGGGCTGCAATGAGCAGGGTCAAAGCACCTTTGGATGGGACCAGAGCCAGAACTGGGTGGGTCACCACTTTCCTCTTCCTTCTGCCCCCTTTTCTATCCGAAGAGATAATTACAGGAGAGATAAGTAATATTCAGAATATATTAAAGAGATGGGAGTACCATCTTATTTCTCTCTTGCGAAACCTGTATGTGGGTCAAGAAGCAACAGTGAGAAGTGGACATGGGACTACTGATTGGTTCAAAATTAGGCAAGGAGTACAGCAAGTCTGTATATTGTTTTCCTGCCTATTTAACATATATGCAGAGTACATCATGTGAAAGGCCTGGCTAGATGAATCACAAGTCAAAATTATGATTGCTGGGAGAAATATCGACAATACGCAGACAACATGCAAACAATACCACTCTAATGGAAGAAAGTGAAGAGGAAGTAAAGAGCCTCTTGATGCAGGTAAAAGAGGAGAGTGCAAAAGTTGGGACTGAAACTCAACATTAAGAAAACTAAGATCATGGCACCCAGTCCTATCACTTCCTGTCGAAAAATAAGGAGAAGAAATGGAAGTAGTGACAGATTCTATTTTCTTGGGTTCTGAGATCACCGCAGATGGTGACTGCAGCCACAAAAATTAAAAGAAGCTAGCTTCTTGGGAGGAGAGCTATGACAAATCTAGAAAGCAGACTAAAAAGCAGAGACATTACCCTGCAAAAAAAAGTTCATATAGTCAAAGCTATGGTTTTTCCAGTTCTAATGTATGGCTATCAAAGTTGGACCAAAAGGAAAACTGAGTACTGAAGAATTGACGCCTTTGAATTGTGGTGCTGGAGAACACTCCTGAAAGTCCCTTGGACTTTCAGTCAACCTTAAAAGAAATCACCCCTGACTATTCTTTAGAAGGTCAGATACTGAAGATGAAACTTAAATACTTTGGCCATCTAATGAGAAGGAAGGACTCACCGGAAAAGACCCTGATGCTGGAAGAGCAACCAAAGGCAAAAGGAGAAGGGGATAGCAGAGGTTGAGGTGGCTAGATGGTATCACTGGGGCAGTGGGTGTGGGCTTGGGTAAACTCTGAGGGATGGTGGAGGACAGGAAAACCTGGAAGAATGTTGTCTGTGAGGTTATGAAGGGTCACACACAACTTTGTGACTAAACAAAAAAGGTAATATACAGTTAGGTAGATGACTACCAAAGAGATCAGACAGAATTGTGTTTCACTTTAAAAGAGGAGACTCACCAAAATTAAGGGAACTGTTAAGCAGAAACTGAAGAGGGGAACCAAGACAGTAAATTCATTTCAAACTGTTTTGAGATTACTTAAAAATACTGTAGCAGAAGCACAGATAATAGGTATAACCACAAATAAGTACAGGTAGCAGAAAAAACAGGAAATCACTATCATTTTTAACGAGTAGTGTCAAGGAAGTCATTAGGAAGAAAAAAAGCTTCCTTCAAGAAATGGAAGTCTTGCCCAAATGAAAAGAATAGAAAGGACTATAAGGTTATACAAGAGGATGTAAGCAGTACAATCAGAGAAGGAAGGAAACTGTTTGAGGAGCATATCAAGGGCAACAATAAATAATTTCAAATATATCAAAAGCAGCTAGAAAATGGAATTAAAGGTGCAGTATTCAGGGGTGGGGGTGGGATGTAGAGATTGCAGAGAAGCTGATTGAATTATTTTCATCAGTATTCACAGCTGAGGATGCAGTGCATATACCTGCGTCTCAGCTTATGTATTTTGGAAGAGAATCTGAGGAAGTAAGGCAGATAGTAGTAACAAAGAAGTTCTCAACCTTATTAACAGTCTGAAGGTCAGCAAATAACCCTGTCCAGACGGCATCCATCCTAGAGTCCTTAAAGAATTAAAACATGAAATTGCTATTTCTTAACGAAATATTTAATATGTTCCTAAAAACAGATCTTATACCAGAGGATTGGAGAATGGCCAATGTAATACCAGTTCCTAAAAGGGATCCAGGGGAGATCTGGAAAATTACAGGGCAGTTAGCTTAACATCTGTTCTGGGTAAACTGCTTGAAAGCATAATTAAAAATAGAATGAGTAAGCACATAAATGGGCAAACCTTAATGAGAAAAAGTTAACACAGCTTCTGCAAGGGGAAGGCTCATCTCACTAAGCCAGTGGTGGCAAACCTATGGCATGCATGCCACAGTGGGCATGCAGAGCTCTCTCTGTCAGCGCGCGAGCCAAGTCGCCTCAGCATTGCTACACCAGGAGAGCATAGGATAACAGTGCACATAGGGTTTTCTGCGGTGGCGCCCCATCTGTGGAATGTGCTCCCCAGAGAGGTCTGCCTGGCGCCGTTGTTATTTGTTTTTTGGTGCCAGTCCAAGGCCTTTTTATTCAAACAGTATTTTAATAATCTTTAATATTTATAGTTTTAATTATGCAGCCAGTGTGTTTCCAAGTTTAATTGTAATTGTAATTCTATTTGTTTATTTGTTATTGTGAGCCGTCCCGAGGCTGTGTAGCAATGGGGATGGCATATAAAAACTTTAAATAGATAGATAGATAGATAGATAGATAGATAGATAGATAGATAGATAGGGACCATGCACATTCTTGGAAAAGAGTAGTGGCGCCAGCCAATGATGTTACAAGCCGCGACTCATTACCTGCGACTCATCCAAGTTTTCGCATGGCCAGTCAGTGCACTGCCGGGGGGGGGGGGGGGGGGGAGAGAGAGAGAGAGAGAGAGAGAGAGAGAGAGAGAGATTTGGTTGGACTAGCTGTGAGTTGTTTTTTCTAAACTAAAACTTCAGCGTTCAGGTTTTATTGCAGTGTTGGCACTTTGCAATAAATAAGTGGGTTTTGGGTTGCAGTTTGGGCAGTCGGTCTCAAAAAGGTTTGCCATCACTGGGTTAGAGATAGAAAAACAAGGTGTCCTGGCGTGATTTTGATGTTTGGAATGTGTTTAGAATGGGCAGTATTGATGTGCAGTGCAGAAAAAACTACTCAAGGGAGGGTTTTTCAAAATCGCCCTATTTTCAGTGGAGTTTTACTCCTACATTAGGGTTAGGGGTGTGCACCAGGGTAGGGTTAGGGTTAGAAAAATGAGGTGTCCTGGCATGATTTTGATGGTTGGAATGTGTTTAGTATGGGCAGAAATGATGAGCTGTGCAGCAAAAGCTATTCAAGGAAGCCATTTTCAAAATCACCCTCTTTTCTATGGTATTTTACCCTTGTATTAGGGTTAGGGGTGTGCACCAGGGTAGGGTTAGGCCAATGGTGGTGAACCTATGGCATATGTGTCACAGCAGGCAAGCATAACCCTCTCTGTCAGCATGCGAGCCATGTTGCCCCAGCATCACCCCAGCAGCTGAACATCGGATAATAGTACACACAGGGGCCATGCACATACTTGGAAAGGAGAAGCGGCACCAGGCGATGACGTCACGAGCCACGACTCATTAGCCACAACTTGTCTGAGCTTTTACATGGCCAGTCAGTGCACTGCCAAGGATATATATATATTTTCACTTGAATTGGCTGTGAGGGTTTTTTTCTAAACTAAAACCTCAGTTTTCAGGTGTTATTGTAGTGTTGGCACTTTGCGATAAATAAATGGTTTTTGAGTTGCAGTTTGGGCACTCGGTCTCTAAAATGTTCGCTATCACTCCACTAAGCTATTGGAGTTCTT